TATAATAAATCACTAACAGTAAATAATCAAATTAAATTAAATCAAATTCACTGCGCAAGTTAAATTTACACGTCCGTCTCATATGATTTCACAAAAAGAATTACAATTAAAAGATTGTTTATTATTCTCCCTGGAGATCTGTTGCTAACAAGAATTGAAGATCAAATTATTTTAAAATTACAACAATGTATCGTAAACAATCGATAAGTTAATTTTGAAGACATTAATAGAGTTCAAGTTAAAAGTTGAGAAAATCTTTGGAATCAATAAAATTGCTTTGATGCAAAATGTTGGATCATTACAGCACTCCTACAATATAATTACTTAACATTTTTTTTGCTTAGGGAATTTTGGGAAATCTGCCTACAGATATCTTGGATTCCGCACTCCAAGGTTATGTGGGGTTGGTATAAAAATAAAACAAAATAAATAAAATGGAAATTTTTTAATAAGCTGGCGACCTACTGCCAGCCCCGACACACTAAAACCCGTAACCCTTTTTTTGAAGCTTTTTGTCGGCCGTCGAGGTCTTTTCTTGTCATAACCGAGATTATGAAGTTCTCGTCATGCTGTCAATTTTCTTCTAACTCACCTGCCTTTTGTAAGTTTCCTCCTACTTACTTTTTGTTCTTGCGAGAGTCTTCTTCGCATCTTCAAGGGCTGTCTTGAAGACTCCGCATCATCCACTACCGGCAATATGGTTCATATTCGCCTTATCGCCATACTTTTCCTTACAGAGGAAGCAGCTTGGACAAACAGCAAACTTACAGTGTGCGACCTTATGATTGACTTCTTCGCACCTGAAGCACGCAGTCGAACTGTCCGCCACCTAACATTCTTTTCCTGTGTGGCCATAATCTAGGCATCTATGACACCTAGTGACCATTACTCTCTTCCTAATTGGGCACGACATAAAGCTAATCTCTATGCGGCCCACTTCTTGCAGCCTTTTCGCTTCTTCTGGGACCACAACAGCGAGCTTTATCCCTCGCCGGTTTGGTCCAAAGACCGTCACCTTCCTGCTTCCCGGCTTCTTCAGGTCATTATTTAACACTTGTTGGACTTATTCTACTTGGGTAAGGCAATCCAAGTCGCGATTCTCCAGCGTTACTCTTTGATCCACAGACTGTACCTTACCCATGCCTTCCACCCTTTGGAAACCTCAGCGGTGAAGGATTATTGGAATTGCCTCCGATTTTAATTAGGAGGTCTCTCCTTTTTGTAGCCTTTGCAACTACGACCTTTGTGTGGCTAACGATCAACCTCCTTACGAAGCTTACCCAAATTGTCGGCAAACGTCCGACCTTGAGCCACTCGGATGACCATTGTTGATCCCCTCGCTGCCTTTTGCTCTAGTTTTTGACATTCTGGCTTCAGCGTATCCTCCGTACTCTTGTCCACCTTATTTGGAGGTGCTTCCTCCTTTTTCTTTTTGATAGTTGTGGCTTGAGTCACCTCTGGACTGCCGGAACTACGTCTTCTCTTCGGCGCATCTATGACAGCGCGCCTTAACTGACGTTTATAGTGGCGCTCTCGTCTCTCCTTTCTGTCCTCACGGTTACCTTCTGCTACGCCGATAGTACATCTTTGATTACATCGATGCCTTCCTCAGACGAACGTGTTGCACTCATGGAAACATATGAATGCAACACGTTCATCTGATGAAGGCATCGATGTAATCAAGTGTACATATCCGCTTCGTCAGTCTCCGCGTGCTTTGCCTTTGCTTTTTCCAGCAGGACTTGAAGGACTTTAAGTCCGTCCTGAACGGTGCTGTTTACATTCTTCTTCTTGTCACAAGAGTTTCTCATCCTTGCGACTTTCAGTTGTATCTTTTCAGGACACAATGCTTCTTCCTTCCTCAATCGAAGGCTGTCCTTGCGATTCTCTCTAATCGCCTCGTCATCCACTTCCAAGTGTACGGGGCTAAATGCGGACTTCCTGCTGCTGCTACTCAACACACTCTGTTGACTACTTCCACTTCCACTTCCACTTCTTGTTCTGTCCACGATGATCTGTGGAACCTTCAGTGCGGCGTTGCCCTTCTGCATCCAAGGGCCACCGGCCATTGTCCCCACGCTAGGCGCTGGACAATCGGAACCGGTGAGGGATTTAACCGAAGTATTACCCTGCAGGTATTCCTGGTTTTGACGGTCTCTCATCACGTTCGTTTCTTTCTGTTTGGTTGTCCTTTAGTGGAAAGCTCCGCCACCACGGCAAGGTCTACCGAACATATCCATGATGCCAGTCGTGTCTGGAAGCGGACCCACTTCTCCCAGTACATCAAAGAAATCAATCATATTCGACAGTAGGACCACTTCTCCCAACACATCAAAAAAATCAATGATGTTCGGCAGTGGACCCACTTCTCCCACTTTTCCAAGAAAATATTTATAAATTCAAAATAAAATCCATAATGTTCTTACACTCCAAATTGACATAATATTGGGTGACATATTAAATATACGGGCTTTATCTTCATTCAGAAATTAAGAGATTTGAGCAACGTTTTAAATGTGTAATAAAGCATTCCAAGAATTAGATAAATCTTCTAATTTTCTTATAAAACCAAATAACAGAAAAATAATTAATGTTGATTTTGTCTATTAATTTCTTAGATACAATCAAGAAGAGTAGTCGAACAATCAATTGAATCTTGTAATCTGCATTAAACCTTCAAATTTAAATTTGATGTTGACTCGAACATGAAATATAAATAATCGACAAATTTACATAAGTTAATTGTAAAACGGCGCACTCGCGTTTACAGAAATGGAAGGATTTTAGAGAAAAGAAAATATTTTTACTTTCAATATATATGTATTCCTTGAAAGTATTTAAAAATCTGAACCATTTTCACTAATAATTAATTTTTTTTTTTGAAAAGTGGTTTTTCGATGTTCTGCGTGTATTGTGATGCCAGTGAAAAAACAGTAAAAAATTGCTTTTATTTTTTCTTTTAAATTGTTTTTTTGTGAAAGTTCTTACTTCGTATAATGTCCAATGGTTTACAAAAATTCACTGAGTTAATTTAAATTAATTTTTGTTTAAAACAAGTATAATTTTAGTTTCATATACGTGCGGTTAAAACGGGGCACGTTGTTAAAAATGTTAAAAATGGTAATAATTTATTGTTAAATATTTTTAAAATAGTTTTAATAAATGGTCGACTATCGACAATAAACCCTAAATAACTGCAACCCAATGTACACATAAGTAAAAGTAGATATTCGTCGAGCACAAGTGTACAGCGGGTTGCCTTGTAATCGTATTGTGAAAGTTCTAAATTTCTAAAGTGGACATAAAAAATGATTAGACATTTTTATTAATAATTATTTAAACTTAGCATTAGTCAAAATATGAAAGTAATAAAGTATTTAGTTTATGTTTCTAATTGGAAATTTTTGTTTGCTCCCCAACAAATAATTAATCTAAAAATGAACGCAAAAAAAATTTCGCCATATTGGATCCGCCATTTTGAATTTTGAAATACTGACTAGGGGCTTTAAAAAATTAAATAATCAAGTAAATCTAATTATGATTTAGAATTAAATTTAGAAAATACAGGATTAAAGAAAAGGTTCCCCAACGAATAATTAATTCAAAATTAAACGAACACAAACATTTTAATAAATAAACTTTTAAAAAAATATAATTTTGAATAATGAGAAACAAAAATATTTTCTATGCGTGTAGTGCTAAAATTTTATAATTGTGAATTCAATTCTCTAGCTGTTGGTATGGAAGAAATTTTTACCCTAAAAATAAATTAAAAACAAAAACTAGTTACTTAATTATATGGATAATAAAGTTTGCTAAAAATATTAATTTCTATGTAGTTGATAGAATTTTCTAAAAACAATTTGTTTAAAAATATTTTGAATTTTCTTTTCATGTTGGTAAATGTTCCGCAACTGGTAATAACTCTCTCGTTAATAGAAGATTCGTCTTCATTCTTGGAGATGGCACTCTTGTTCTCTTTCCAAAAATTGCTTTATTCCGCTTCTTTTAAAAAATAAGGGGAATATTTGATTTTTATGAAATTTATTTTTAATAAACAAAAATTAAAATGAAGAATTCAAACATTTATTTAAATTTAATATTTAATTTAAATAATAAAAGTTAAAGTGGATTTTCTTCATTTTTTTAATTTGAAAGTGTGTAAGGTTCTAAATAATTGTGAATAAACATTGGTTACAAAATTTTAATTTTTAATTAATTTACAACTTTTTTAAATTAAAAATAATGTCACTTTTCTTCGGGATTTTTTATCTTGCAAACTATTGATCATATAGAGAAAAGTTTTATAAAATTCATAAGTTTTATTTATTTATAACTTTTAATAATTTTTTGTAAATTTTGTTATAATTTTTAATTTATAATTTATCAATTTTCGCATATTGAATGAACGAGAACTTCTTTTAATTTTTTTTCGTAATAAAATGCCTAAATACTAAAAATATATATTAATAATCACTGGATAAGTGATTAGACAATGATTTTAACAAAAAGCAAATATTTAATAGAAAGTTTTATTTTGATTAAAGACAATCCAATTTTCGTCCCTTGGGAAAAAATGTCCTCTCAAGTTAACTGAATTTTTTTTTCGTTTTTTTGTTTAAGAGTAAACAATTTTATTAAATGACAGACATTATTCTATGACTGTAGACCCTTTATGTACCTCTTTTTTTACAGTATCTTTTTTTCCTGGAGATTTGTGCTAAAATGTTTACCCGATTTCAAAGCAAGCTTGAATATAGCGCGAGCTTCAAGTTTGCTTTGCGTTCAACTTTAGCGAGGGTCAAAATCCTCAAAGGGACGATTTATTCGAAGGACCTTTCTTCGATTTTCTCCATCTCACTTGTACTTATTTTCTCCACTCAATTCTCCTTTTGCTTCTTGCTTTTCTCCATTACGCAACGACGTGTTTGCATTTCCATCCCAAGGGGCGGACGCCGTGTAATTTCCGAAAGCCGATTTCAATTTCGTGTCCTTTTCAGAAGAAAATCTCGAGAGCCTTTGGGTCCGGTTCATCTCATCTTCAGGAGATGCCTACACTACAGGATTACGGAAAGCTGTCAAAGCTGAGAAAATTCAAGAGCTTTTGGAACCGATGATCAACATTTGATCTCACCCCTTGAAAATAATGGTAAGTTATTTTTTTTTATAAAACAAAAACAAATTTATATTTTTTTAAATTATATCGAAATTATATGATATTCCACGTAACCTGGAAACCTGGAAAACATGGAAATGTCAAAAAAATTTATAAACCTTGAAAGAACTTGGAAAAGTCATGGAATTTTATTTTTAAAATCTAATTTTACCTTAAACATTTCAAAATTAATTCAATTTTGAAAGCATTGCGTTTACAATTTTCATGATGAACTTCGAAAGGTGTTAATTTGAAATTTTGTAAAATTTCGATTTTAAATGAATTTAATTATAGAAAATTTAAAAAAACTAGATTTTAAAAAAATTTTAATAACTACAATTCAAAAATTTTAATAAAATTCTTGGAAAATTTTTTAATTTTTTTAAAAACTATCCTCAATTCAGTAATTTTTAATATCTAGGTAACTTTAATAAAAATTCCTAAAAGAATTCAATTAGTTAAAAAAATTTTTAATAAAATCCTAAGCAAACATTTCATTATTTTCATAAATAATAAAAATTTCCTAAAAATTCAATTATTTACAAATAATTTTCATAAATAATAACAATTTTTACAAGGATTCAAATGTTTTCGTAAAAAATAAAACTCATCGCAGACTTTCAATTATCTTCAATACAATTTGAATGGAATTCATCGAAAAATGTAATTATTCTTACAAAATTTTATTAAAATTTATCAAAGAAATTCAATTATTTTAAAAAACCTTTGCCAACCTATATTTTCAATACATTTTTAATTAAATTTCTTCAAAGAATTAAATTATTCTCAAAAATTTTGTTGAAATTCTTTGAAACAATTCAATTTCTTTCAAAATAATTTTAATAAAATTCTTCGTAGAAATTTATTTATTTATTTATTATTTATTTATATGTGTTTACGGGTACAAAGCTCTTTTGTGCAAAGTACTTAACAATATTTAAAACTAATCAACAAATATTAATTTTTCAAAATTCAATTATTTTCAATGTCTACTATTTCAATAAAATTTCAAAAATGCATTCAATTATTTAAAAAGAAATTATAATAAAATTCGTCTCAGGAATTCAATTATTTTCAAAAGTAATATAAATTCTTCGGAAAAATTCAATTATGTTCAAAAATTTACAAAAATTCTCGTCAAAATTTCAATTATCTTTATAAATTTATAGAATTTTTCTTCAAAATTCATTTATTTTCAAAAATATTAATAAAATTCTTGGCAAAATTTCAATTATTTTAATATTTTTAATACAATTTTCATCAAATTTCTTGAAAAATGAAATTATTCTTAAAAATTGTATTCAATTTTGTCAAGAGAATTTAATTATTTAAAAATTTGTTGATAAAATTCTTTATGAAAATTCAATTTTAAGAAATATTCAATTATTCAATAAATTGTTCATTTTTTTATGTAAATAATTGAATTCTCGTAGAATTTTCTAATAAATATTGATTTAAAAATGAATTTCATTTAAAATTTTATATTATAATTGAATATTGAAAGCATTATATCGTGAATTTTTAGAGATCATTGAATTTTGAAAAGGTTTCGAATTAAAATCTTGGAAAATTTGAACTTTTCATACTTTTAATTAAGAATTCTGTAGAATTAATTTTCTTTTAAAGTTTAATTGAATTTCTTTTAATTATTTGAAGTTTTTAATTTCTAATATATTTAATTGAAGAATGTCAGAATAATCGAAATTTCGTAAAATTAAATTGTAAACAAAAGGATTTAAAAATTGTCAAAGAACTTTTTAAACAATATAGAGAATGCGATAACTCCAAGTCGAAAACTCGGAGTGATCGATATCTTCATGTTTTATAATAAATATTCTTATATGTTATTGAATAAAGATTCTCAAAATTTTAAAACTTTTGCAAATCTTAATTTCTATGGAAAAAATAATAATGATTAAATATTTGTTTTAAAAATAAAGTTCTTTAGAATGAGGGAAAAAGACAAAGTTTTATTTGCAATATAAAATATAATAACAATTTAAAATTATGATAAATTTTTCATAAATTTCTTTTTCTAAGAAAAAGTTATATATAACTGAAAGTTTTTTTTTATCTATAAAAGCAGAGAATCTAAACGTGATTTGTGAATCGTCACAAAGCAAACGTCGACTTTTCTTGGATAGGATAGAAAAAGAATAGATTGGATGTTGGGGAAGGGAAGAATGGATTTGACGGGGCGAAAATCATGAAGGTCGGAACCGGAAACGAAGCTCACTGCGATGTGACGTCATTCACAAAAGAACACCTCTTTGAATTTCATGATAGTAAATTTTCCTTTTGCACAAAGTATTCTAAAAATAATTATTCTAATGAAGGTGATTGAAAACTAATTCTAGTTTCCAATGGCGAAAGGTATTTATAATATAATCGGATCACGTATTATTCGAATTCAAAAATGTTAAATACCTTTCAAGCAATTTCAGCAAAATAATTTCGTTTTGGGTCTTCTTTTTGGATTGATAAATTTTTTCAAAAAAGTTCTTCATTGAACGATTTTTATTGTCAAGGCTGTTTACTTTTTGAGTTTCTTGACTCTTCTAGGTAAATACCTCTAGATTTCTCTGGTTTAATCCTGACAAGTTGGTTTGAACAAGTTTCAGTTTATTTAGACTAATCCTAATGATGATGACGAACTAAGTCATCAAATGGGCGCTTTTCTTATTCACCAATAAATCGAATGTACACATTATTTATTTTACTGTAATTGTCAAAACTAAAATTGAAACTAAGTAAATATTTATTATCGACAAATGTGGTCATCAAGCTAAGTATATCAATCAGTAAACAAATTCTTCAGATAACTAATTGATGATACACGAAGGCTACCAAGCTAAGTAAAAGCAATTTTTTTTATTTACCTTGAAAATTAAATTAACTTAAATAAACAAATTTGACGCGATAGTGAATGTGTTTCGAGATTTTAATTAATAAGATTCCTCCATTAATTCGACGCTAGATCATCATTATGATAATACTCAGCAATAGGAGTTTGGAGCAACGCAAGTCCCCATTTGAAGATCAGCATAGTACTATTCATTTAATGCAACTCTTGACAAACTATACACAGTCCACCATTTGGTCGATGATGTTTTCATTCTCACAATTCTGAGGACTGACGCATAAACACATTTTTATATGACACTCTGCTTGATATATTTCCAACCCTAGACCCATCGGGGATGTTGACCACCCTTTGTTCTGGCAGCAAGTGTCATATATTCCATTCCTCCTTATTGGTATTCTAGCGTCGCGACGCCTATACATCTTTTGCTACTTTTTTTCCCCATGTGAATAACAATCAAAAACATTTAAATTTTTTACTTTTTCTCAAAATTCCAATTAAATTATTTATTTCAATTATACAAAGTTTTTATTTACAATTTTAAAGAAGAATTTTTGACCAAAAGATACGTCAACTTTGTAAGGGTTTGTTTCTCGCGCTCGCGAGTCAGTCGGACCAATAAAAACTTTACAACCGCGCGTAATGAATGCAAGAAATAATTATCTCATGAATACATTAGTTTTATTATCTTCCGACACGGAACGAACCATAAAAGGCGGCAGTCCTGATCTTGACCCCCAATTTTCACTGCTTGACTCTTAACATCTACGTTTTGGAATTGTCCAATAACTTTCTCACCATTTTTTTTTCATTTATTCTAAATATTTTTTTCTTCCATTCATTTAGTAATTATAATTATTTATCTTTAATATTAGCTGAAATATAAAACCGATTATGAAACGAATTATTGACCCAAGTTTTGACCATTGAAATCCTTTGCCAGTTTCCTTAGTTCGTAGCCTTCAGCTCCGTAAATAAAACAGGAATTGAAAATAATATTGCGGTTAATCTTATAGAATATACACTCTTAGTTTGAATCAGTCAAAATGTGATTGATTCAATCAGTCACGCACATTTTCACTGACAAATCATTGATTTTCATTGGCACAATAATCATTTTGACTGGTAAATCTGTCAAATATTGTCACTGATACAATCAGTCACTGAATTTAACTGTAAACCAGTCATTTCATTTAACTGATTTGTCTGTTGATTATTTTAACTGACTTAGATCAGTCATTTTAACAAATACACCTGTTTTTTTTAAATATGCAAATAAATTATATTTATCTGCAATATAGACAAAATAACATTATTTCTTAATATAAATATATTTGTTGACAATTTTTACATTAAATGATATATTATTATGATTTTTTAACAAATATATTGTTTATTAAAAATCAAAAACTTTCTTTTTTTAAACAAAAAAATACAAGCAACTATTTTTCTTTTACTAATAAAATACATTGCTGTAAATAGTTATGTTTTGTAAAATATTTGTAGTTTATATTATATACTATTCGAAAATAAAATATTTGAAAGAATTCCTTCGTTTCAAAAGGTTTGCCACATCTGGTTTGTCTTAGGATGTCGAACTATAGGTTTCTCGTTACAATAGGTCCGTGTTTTATGACTTTTTCGGGACCCTTTTTTTCTTATGAATTTATTTAGGTAGAAAGTTTGTGAAATTTTTTTGTACTTAAATATAAGATGGAAGTATACGAAAATTTCATACATTTTCTTTAAAAAGTCTTTCAAGATGCTTTGAAGCGTCAGTTGCTCTTCAGCTTTGGCATGAGGAAAACTGACGCCGCGAGTAAGAAAAATATTTTAAGTTTTAGTAATTGACTAATGACTGATATTTCTTCTTTTCATCCTGATTATTCAAAGTTGTTCAATATATAGTGATAGTAATATTCTGAAGTGATTGTGAAGTGATTCAATAGTATTTAATTCCAACTGATTGGAGTTAAATATTTTAGAACGGTACTTAAGAATTGTATAGACAAAATTAATTTATAATTTTGCAAAATTGAGTGGTAGTGCTTTCAAATAATTTAGTTGTCTTTACTTATTTATGATTGTTATATAACAATTTTTGTGCATTAAACAAATTTCAGTTACTTAT